TAAGTGTTTTTGGGTGTTTCTATGTATAATAAGTGTGTATGTCTTTACAAAAAAATTTATATATGTATTTATATAAGTTGTCTAGTACCCATAGCACAAGCTCTGCTTAGTTTGGGACTATATGGCGTTGTGTCAATGTGCTAATATATTTATGATAAACTGGATTTATTTAAAACTGGTCCCTGGTTTTAAGTTGCATATCAAGCGAGTAGCAGCGAAGACTGTAAAGGCGAAAGAAGTGTGATATGTTTAATTCGGAGGTCTGAGTATTACACTTACCGTGTGCGATCCATATTAATGACAGAATTCTGCAATAAAGTAAATTACACCAGTTATATACGAGAATAAACTCATAAGCATCTCTTTAAATAACTGTTCATTAAACTTAAGTTATGTGAATATCTAACCAGCTTTAAGCCCGACAAAGGTTCTCTGTTATGGAAACGATCTGTCCCGTCGATATGCACCTTTATACTGGGATCTTTTATACTGGGATACTTTATATCGAAATTAAGTCTGATTTACATTATTTAATTTGCTTAGTAGTAAATGACATTCGTAGTGGGCTACTTAGTATGCAGATTGCCTTTGGCCTAATTTCATTTTGTAACTATTTGGACAATAAAATCGGTAATCACTATGAATTAGATCCATCAGAAATGTCTTGACCATTTTCGTTTTGAAGTAGAGTTAACATGAAAAGATGTTTGAAACCTGTAGTACTATATGTACTATAAAATACGTACTTTAAAAAAATGCGTTTTAACGTGTCCATTTAATGCGAAAACAATAGAACTATTTCATTAATAATTTGATGAAATCAAATCTTTGTATTATTTTACTATCTTAACATAGTTTTGTATGGTAGAAAATAAATTAAAAAATAAAATAAATTTTTCCAAACTTATTTGATAGAAGAGTTTTTAGCCCACTGCTCAGCTCACGTTACAGCTACCCTTTTCACCTCTCAGAAAAAGCATTGTTTTCTTAAATGAATGGTACTCTATGTACTCCTAATAATGTGCATGCTTCATGAGTTTTGAGTGGTTAAGGTGTGAAAGCGTCATACTACTTACAAACTTACTCTTAATCGCATTATAACGTTTGAAACAATTAACTCTGTTTTTATTTTCGTCAGCAAACATGGTTAAAATTTTGTTTAAAAATGAAGGGTTGGTATATTTTTCGGGTCCCTAAAATTAACAGTCATAAATATTTTATTATTTAAAGCTTTATTTTCGTTTAAAGTAGTTATAATAGTTAATGCATGCAGCAGTACCCAAAACAGTAATGATAGTCCAATCATTGTAATGTACGAATATAAAATAGCCTAGAGACAAATAAACGGCAGTATACTATAAGTACGAGTATAGTACATATCCACATTTTGGTTAAGTGTAAAACTTAGGCCCCTTTCGGTGGCGAGTGGTGGCAAAACCTTGAATAAATTAAATTAAGACACGAATACTTATTCCGTTTAATTTATAAAGCCTGCGCCATACATGTGTCATTAGGAATATTTCACGTGTCAGTTATATTTGTATGATGTAAAATTGTACAAACTTTATTTACGTGCACGATTGTAGTTTCATGCGACGCTGACCGCTATTCTAGTAGGGTCGTAATTATTTCTGTATGTTCTACCATTTATCTCGCGGTTTTGATGCTTTTATTAGGGACAACATTTCGTAGTTTAAAAGCTTTATATTATAGCGAATAAAACTAAATAGACGCTGTGCTTCTGTGCTTTATTGCTCTATTATATTTTATGACGCAATAAAACTTGTCAATGTCTTTTTATTATTATAATTTTCGTGCTTTACTTTCGTTACTAGTGTTACAATCTCGAAGCTTTTGGCTACAAAAGCGTTTTGTGTTGTGAATTATTTATTATTAACAACTAGCAATGCCACTTAGCTTTAGGATTAACAATTATAGTAAGATATAATTATAGTGATAAGTACTAAATATAGTTTAGCTTTATTTGTTAGCGGCCATACTGTACCCGCGGTAACCGCTAACAGTAATTTTTCGAGACCAATTCTGTCTGGCTGAATCCTGGATTAAGGAAGGTTCGATTTAATTTGCGAATGAAAGGTTGCCCTTGTTCCAAATGTCAAGTACAAAGCTACTTTAGAGTAAATTAGAGGCTTTTACTCTTTTTGTACTGTCACAAAAGCTATTCAAGAATAATATTCTGTATATGTTATTAAAAAGCTACAAAGATCCAAGAGACGAAGTTATAACGAAGATTGCCGACCCATATCACATTGAAGTTCTAGTGACATGTATAGAACCTTTTTTTATGATAAATAACCAATATTATGAATAAAACGCTTTCAGAGTATTTGACCTGCCCTTTGTTAGTGGAAATGTATAACGCAAAAAATATTAAATTCATTCCGAGAGTTGTAAGTGAAGGTTTTCAGTTTTCCTTTACCATACATAAATATTTTTACTGGTTATTGAGGGCATCGTAAAAGATGGATAATGGACCTTTATAAAATATAAGCTTTGTAAGGATTGGCGTATGCTCATATGGAAGAGTAACACACAAAGTTTGAGTAATCTAAAATAAAACAGTTTTTTTTGTAAGTTATTAGTAGGTGATTAGCATTGAGGGCACTGAAACCTCAGATAGTAATTGCTTCACTTCTTCATCATCAGCCTATCGCAGTCCACTGCTGTACAAAGGCCTCTCCTAACGTCCGTTTAGACCTTAATCGTGCGCCTTCCCCATTCAATCTATCCTACCTTCATCAGGTCATTAGTCCATCTAGTTGGGAGCGTCCCACCCTTTGTTTACGGATCGGCGGTCTTCACAATCGATATTCCACTCAGTCTTTACCATAATTTGTCAAACAGTATGAATACGGTCCACAGTGCTATAACCTTAGGGACTCGACTTGTTCTCACGGCTGGAATTCGTAGATTTTCCTCGTGTTCCTGGTGCTTTGTGACAATTCTTGAAAAATCTTGTAGATGTGGCTCTGGAATGAAATGAGTCTGTAGTTTTTCGACAACTTCTGCTCGATAGCTAGGTGTCAAACTTGTTTGAATGATGGAATCAAAGTGACGCATTAGTTCTTTAAAATTGGGGTCCCACTTGCCTTCAGTAGTAATTCTGTGAACCTCAGCAGAACTTTTGTCCTTGAGGTGCTACAGAGCCGCTGCAAAGTATGACGTATCTTTTGCTGTAATGGCGGGTTAATGAGAATCTGTCAGTCTGTCATTGTCACTATTTTTTAATGGCTTTATGATTCATCATGCGTACCTATGGATATCTACAGGACCGACACAGCCCTGGAAGAGCTTGGAAGGGTTACCATGTCTTTTCACTGTTGTTCAGATTTCTGAAAACCCCAATGTGTGCCAGTTTATGTAGCCTAGTTCTGTCTTGAGTTCAGTTAACTAAAACTCTAAAATACTAAGTCAGTACATTGTAAATTGAGTTATATGGCAACATATTTTTTTAAATAAAATATACTTAATTAAGTTATATTAGCAACAATAACATCAATACAGTAGCCGCACAATAGAGTATCCGCATTATTGTTTGTACCTTGATCAGCAGTCAAGTGAACGTCATTAAACTTATAATGTACGGCCTTTTTTTGTTGACGGGGTGGAAAATCCCTTTGGATAAATCAATCTTTATTTGCCAACCAAGTGTACATAAATGGTCTTATAATTTTAATTTGTCTCAACTTAGTAGTCTTTGCCAGGCATTGCAAAATTGAGAAAGAATACAGAATAAATTATTATTATATAAGTACAAGCATTTTAGAATAATTATTAGATGAATGAATCAATAATATAGTATAACAATTGAAAAAATCATGCAAAATGCAAAAGGCATTTAGGCATTATTGTGTATCAAAACCGATTTTTCTTTTATATATTTTTTGTACGTATATTCATTCTGTTATTCGTGTAAAAAGATATGTTACGTGTTAGATATGTTATGTGTTTATGTACTCTTTAACTGAATAGAAACATTTTTCAATTAAGAATGCTTTTAGTTTCTATCTCTTGCTCTTCTTCTATCTTCTGCCCCGTCGACGGTCATAATGCACCTACGGCTTAAAGTGCAATAATTGTTATCGCCCTACCATTGCACTGTTTTCCTCTGCTGTAGTGCACAACTAATTTTAATAAAATGCATACGACACAACGTGTTAATATGGCGACAAAAAAATATCAGACAACTTACAAGATTCTAATCGTAGTTGAAGACCGGAAGTGTAGTGTAAAAATCATTGCCTTGCGTTACACCAAAATGTTTTAATAAAACCGCCACACATTGACCGAGTAACGAGGCAATTACGGTTTACGATGAGACACCGATTGCAACTCAATTTGGCGTTCACAAAGAGGACTAGCCGGGATTCACAGGCCTGTGTACAATTCATTAGTAGCTTTGACAGTTCTGGCTTTCACGTTCTCTTGTGACATATAGCTTGCATGCACACCAAAGATAGTAATTTCATTTAGTGATCTCAGTGTCGTTAGATACTCTGTTGTTGTACGCAACAAACTCGTTATTTTTCTGATGCAAATACGCTCATTTTCCTCAAATTGTATGACGTTCGTAATTACGAGTTATTAATCAATAACCGTACAATGCTTTCATCACGTCAATCGTAACTTAGCAATGATTAGATATTTAGAGAACAAATAAACTTTATTTATTTTGTTGGCAGATCGAGTAGTGTACTAAAATACAATAGTGCTTGGATTCGCAAAAAGACTTTTAGATTTATTTCTAAACACAATAATAGTACGTGTTCAGTGTCAACGTTGAATGACAACCGGTACAGTGATATAAAACAACAGACGCGGCCATTGTGATGTCAGTGAACAATAACATTATTGGTGCAAAAATGCAATGGGCCGGTGGAGGGGGAGGGATGCCTATCTTGCCTATCTGATTGGCTGTCACAGTGATTAATTGCATTTGATAGTTTAATCCCGTAGAGAGTGAACATCTGCGCACCAAAATGTCGGCAGGTAATTTTTTGTACATTTTATTATTTGATCATGAAATGCATGAAAATAGAAAAATTGGTAGTTACATTGGATAATTTTCACTGGAAATTCAAAAGTTAAATATTTCATTTTCAATCACAAAAATCAAACCATTCAAAAGCTTGATCATATAATTGACCAAATTATAAGATCTATGAAACTTTAATGTAATTTCAATAATTTCTGAGTGACATTAATTTCATCTTTCAGATGACGAAACTAGTAACGCAATAAAAAAAATAGGTAACTATTGTAATATTGTATCTTCTTCAGAGTTGGATCCACGATTTTCTTACTATTGGTTGTTTCCTTAGCAGGGTCAGCTGTGGCTATGATCGGAGGGAATCTGCGCTTCGGACCGGCTGGCGCTACAAACTCGTCGATCGCCAATAATACAAGGCACTGTCCGCCAGGAGGTGCAGCAAGCGCCGCAGCCTTGCTTGCACTGTCCAGCTTAGGAATGTCAGCAAATTTGGCGCTGATGGCGGTCATACTAAGCAAAAAGCAGTTAAGGAGGTAAGCTTCAATAGTTTCAAGGTTTATTGTTATGAAATCTACAGAAGCTTTTTAACACTTTAAAAAAATCTAAAGAAAAGAGTGATAAAAGGCCCTTATCAAATCATTCCAAACTGTCCTTTTTCTAACTGCGGCAGACAAATGTACTGTAAATATTGTTAACATTACCTCGTCAAAACACATTTACGCTATTTGAAGCCGATTTCTTTAAGAAATATTTTTCAATAAAATTTCGGGAAAGATTTATCTGGCGTTCGCACTCTGAATAATAAGCATTATAAAAACTTGGTATTGGGCTATTCAAACCATACCTAAGGTGTCGAATAAAATCGTTATCAAATATTTTCAAGGAGATAAATTCTTATAGCCATAAATAACAGCTAGAAATAAAAGCTATCAATTTTGGTACCGTTACGAGGCGGAGAGTAAAAACAGGGAAAAAAGAATGTTTATCATTATTCAAATGTAGCGCTATTTGGATTTTGTGTTATAAATTTATGAGCACATGACGTATTTACACGCAAGTGACATTGGCATATAAAAGCGAAATATACTATCCAAAAAGTGTAATGATGTTTATGTGTCTATTGTGACTATGATCTAATTTAAGATTTATAAATATACTATAATATTTATAGAAATAATGTAATATAAAAAATTGTTTACGTATTGAATTTTGTTATATATCAGTAATTAGTAACAAGGAAGTTATGACAATAAAACTACGATTTAGTTATAGCGGATTTTATTTTATTTTTTAGATATACCTATAGCATGTCGGCTAGTTATTCAAAGAAATAGTACTGTTCTTGTGAGATAGAAAATTAATAATAGTCTATGAAAACTCAAAAAAAAACACTCTTCTGTAAATAAGCAGTGCTAGTTGTAAATATTTTATTTATCTCAATAATTGGTAAAAGTATAAAAAAAATTGGTAAAATACTGGTAAAAGTATAAAGAATTGGTAAAAATATTGCTAAAAGTATAGTCATTACATCATAAAATATGCTAAAAAGCATTTTACGTATAGAAAATTATTTTCTACTTTATAGTTACAAGTTACAAAAGCGTGTTTTTTTGTACTCTTACTTTTTTTAGGTTTTTAGTCTTTAATGATATGTTATTTTAAGGAGGAAATAATTTCCTCATTAAAATTCAGTACACGCCTTAGTACTTGGCACAAGAAAACTAGTTTATTCTGGAATCTTAATCAGGATAATCGGACAAACTTATTAACGTACTGTATTGTCACCGGTCCTTGATAATTATGCAGTTTCGTTTTGAAATGACTTTTTTTTTTAAATTTCGCAATCGGACTAGATAATAACAATATCTACCAAATGCCCGATTTTCATTAAATTCCAACGTCTTTAGATTCCTTTTTCACTCACTTTTCCGTTTTCCAATTCAGGTTTCAGTGCCATAAATAAACAATATAAACCTTTTTTAATTTTTAAAATCATTAATTCCTATGTAAAAATGTCTCCTGCACAACTTTTACTTCAAACATTTTTCTGTAAATATCAATACTTTTTGAAATAACTTTCGAGAACCAAAAAATAGCGTTTTTGTTTATTTCTTAATTTTATTCCAAATTTCAGCTTGATGGCATCGACCACCACTTTTATTAATTTTCCACGACTAGAAAGCGTTTTCACAACTTTGAATTAATGTACGGTATTTTTTATTATATAGTATTTTTCAAAAGGTATCCTAAGTTCTCTACCGCGTCTTGACAACATGATTGCAAAAAATTTAGGTGAGAAAGCTTAAGAGAAGTCTTTTTCACATTTAAATTTATAGTTTACTGTTTCTGATAGTCCATGACTATGACATTCATGTCAGAATCGAAAGAAGGTATCGTCAAGTTCCTATGTTCTCGAACAGTTTCGAAAATGTATATAGTAATGAACTCCATTCTACATAATTAAATACTTGCCAAGTAGCTTGTAACATAAACTCTTGGCTTAAATTATGTTTTTGATAAAGTTTCACCGCAAAGTATTTCGAAGTTCAAAGTTTTTAATAACGTATTCAGATTTTATAATTGGATTTTAAATTGTTTATAATATTACTTGATTTTTAATAATACTGTCAAAGATAATTTAAAACTCAAAATACATATGAATCCGCTTCATTTACCTTATTCAGATTTGTAGTAAGAGTCGGGAGTGCTCGTTGATTGAGAATAATGAAGCCAATTTTCTTGTAATGTGCACTTTATTGAAATAATATTTCGATTACAAATGACACGTAAAATGCTCATAAAAACTGACAGGTATTAACTTGTTTGAGTACGTGATCGCGGTGGGACGCTTGCAGGCCGAGTGCGAGAGGTATGGCGCGGGCGCTTAAAGCCCGCTACGCGACGTGGTGTCGGTCGTTGTGTGTAAAGAGGTTTGCACACATTCACGCTTCAACATACCTAATTTATTAAGATAGAAGATAGATAGATATATATAAATATATATATATAGAGATTATGGAGATAGATAGATTTGAATAAGAGAATTTGAAATGATTTCTTAATAATAGGTTAGTACTAAAAAATCATTGTGTCATATAAAAATAGCGATGTAGGGTTAGTCTCCTAATCAACGCTTCTAAACAATAATATTTAGAAATTATTTTATCTATAGTAATAAAAATAAAAATCAGAGGCTCTAGGGCAGCTTGTACTGAAATTAATGTAACAAAGAAAAGTAAAAGCAAAAATAGAATACGTTTTTCCTTTTATGTTTGTTGAGAAGTTTACTAGATACTTTCCTACATATACCTACTTTTAAATCTGACACACTACTGCTATCTGCTAAGAAACATTAATAATGCAGAACAAAAAGGTAAACTTGTATTCTTATGAATAAGAAAAGAGTTCCACTCGCCTCAAGGAAAATAGCCTAATACACACCCACTACATTATTTACTATTAAGATCCGAAAATGGCCTTTACGTGCCCAAGAAATCAGTACACGGATATTATGTGTCTCATTTTCGCTTATAGGAGAAACGTGGAAGTGAATGAGAAGGTCAGTTCCTTAAGAGCACTCGCAGCTCCTCTTAGTGAGTGACAAACAAGATGATGGATGTTTAAGCCCATCGATATTTTATATCGTCCATTGACAGGATGAATTATAACTTCTTAGTTTTATACTCACATATAACTCAGTAAGTGACCGTACTTCAGGGTACTAATAAATGATACTTTAAAGGACTTGTAGTGACAGTAGACATCTTAAGAGTATAAATAACTTTAGGATTCAGAAAAATATTACACTAAAATGTAGGAAACTTCCTCCTGTTTTTCATATCTTCATATTTCTATCTCTACAAGACTGTATGGTTTATTTTCGTAAGAACACTCGTTGGAAGAATTGTTCTTTTATTAAAGGTTTTGTCCACTTATATAAATTGGTTGAGTTGGAGACAAGCTACATGTAAACATTCAATGAAGTACAGCCAATATTGTTTAGATTTTTTTTTGTGAAATTTATATTATTTTACCATGTTCAATTTTTTTCATACACCATATTCATTTTAAGTTAGGTTACAGTCTTCATCCAGAAAATCGTTTTTACGCACTACGGAGTATACCTTTCTGACTTTCCTTTTGGATTATCTATGGGTTTCAGCAGACATGTAAGCATGGAAATTATCCTATTAATTACATATAACGATACACAGATCATGATCAGAAATAATATGTAAAACAATTCGAATTTATCAATAGACCCTGCTATGTTATTCTTCTTGTACCTTCTTCTTTGTTACTTTTTTTTTTATCAGATGGTCGCACGGTCTTCTCTTCCATCAAGCAGTAGTGGATTGCGCGCGCGCAGCAATATTGCTACCACTTGGCATCGCCGTGTTCCGCTGCCAGCCTGTCTACAAGTGTTCACTTGTTGAAACTGCTTTTTTGCTACTGGTGAGTTATTGTTTGTTAAATAGAGATGACTTTGCAAATTATAGACATTACATACTACGAGCTCTATTGGCTTTTGAGTTTACTTTAAAAAATCTGTAATAAATAAATCATATATTTTTCATTGATTTGTTTCTGTATGACATATTTGCGTATTCCATTTTTTACACAAATTCGACATTCAGTAATAAAGGCATGGAATGGAAAACTGAGATGAATATTGTAAGTTTTGTTACTTTAGCACATATTTATTAGTAACCATATGCCAAACAGCTTATTTATAAAACTGGAATTCAAAGTGGTGATCTCATAGTTCTGTATACAATCATTTTTTAAAAATATCGAAAATGTAAAACTAATCAATTTTTGATTTTGTTGGTTTTAGAGAACACAGTGCAATAATACAGTGTAGATATAGGATGATTATTGAAATTTTAGCATACTATATTTTGAGATCATACAAAATCGACAGCAAATCAATGCTCCTTAAGTTTTGTATGGTTTATTTAAAAAATATTTTCTGTAAAAGTATCTTATTGACATAAATCACAATTTTGAATAGTAAATAATAAAACGATTGTTCTAACTAAAACGTCTACTAAATGTAAAAGAAGCAATTTTATATAAAGTTAGATTGGCACTTAAACACGACAGACAATATTACTTAGAAATCTTACGATCATTTCCATTAGTTTGATTGTAAATATCAAATGTTACTCAGTAGAATAGCTCGATAAACGAAAGTAATTTTTCTTGTTCGAGATAGGTTCTTAAGTAATTTTTAATTATTCTTTTCTTGATGGCGTTTGTGATGGAGCATTTCGAATCGCACTCAGGCGTTCAGGGCTTCGAAATGCTCTCGTTTAATTATACTAATTACAAAACAAACAATAATAAAACTTGGTAAAATAAAATAAATAAAAAGAGTGTTGGAATATAATCTGCGACCAATACTGTGACCATTGTGGTGCCAAGGTATGAGGATCAACTCCTGTTGGTGCAGGTGAGGTCGCTGGTAGGATTGGTATTTAATTATTTATTTAATGTTTCTTCATTTAGTTTTGTTACTCCTGTTTTATATTATATATAGTAGTAATAAGATAGTAGTAAGATAACAATAATAAATTTAATTAAAATTTAGCATCTTCATTCGTTTTCAAAATAGATCGTTGCTTGCTCTGATTGTTCCAATGTAATTGGTTCACAAGTATAATACGTAATGTATAACGTATTTTATTATTGTTTTGTATTTATTTTTGTTTTATTTGAAGGCTCTTCCATTAGTCGCTCATTACTTTGCCGCGCGATGTCAACTCAATTCACTCTTTTTAGTTATTCTCAATGATGTGATTGTAAAGTCTACACCTAAAGCTTCCTCCCATGCATGACGTCGATACAGATTATCAAAACCTTTAATACTCGTAGTAAGTGGATGCAATAATTAACTTATAAAAAGTATCACCGACTTAAATGTACCTACATAATGACGAATTTTAATCAACTATATTCTTCATTCATTCATTTTCCACTGTTATCGGTTGAATTATTTTTTCAAAATTGAATGAAACAAAACAAGCAATAATCCAAATAAAAAATAATTTTCCAAGTATGTTCATAAATTACGGAGTTTTGGTGAACTCGTAAAAATAGAAAAATATGCTACAAGAATTGAGAACCTCCTCATTTTTTTGAAGTCGACAAATTAAAGAAAGGTTCCGTGTGTTTACTGTCTACAACACATTGTCAGATTTGACGTTTTCATAAATAACAAAACAATTGCCATTAATTTGTTACTCCAAACATACACAAAGTAAAAAGATTGACTACCAATAATAGCTGTATCTTGTTTTTATGTGGTGTGTTTTCTTTCTATCCAAAAACCAATAAACTTGAATTGCTAATCCAATGAAACCGATTGGATATGTTACGTACAAATATGTATAATATTGTCGATTACGGCCTGATAACTGGACCGCTCACCCTTATAGGGCCATTAAATTATATGAACCACGCTCCGTTATGTCCACATTACATTTTACCTTCATAAATGAACTCATGTATGAATGTTTTATAAGAATAGATTTCAATGTCTGACTGACCTGTTAGTCTAGTGGAAAAATAAATATTTGTCAAACTAAGTTTTGAATCTGTCGGGCTTATGTGATACGTGGCAAGTTCTAACTATTATTCCATGTCTGTAAAAGCTTTATAAATTACTTTAATAAGTGGAATTCGGATTAATGATGGCTGCGGATTTTGCAATTTGTAGGTTAAGTTATCACCGCTGACAGTTTCCTATTGATATTTATTATGTCTTAGTAATAAAGATGAAAACTCTTCTTAAATTAAGATGTGATCTCTGACTATCACATCTTGATTTAACTCTAAATGATCTAAGTAAATTAGAGTTACAAGCTAAAATTTTATCATTTTGCTATGTCACTTTATCACTTAACTCACTGGTTTTATGTAGTTAATACATAAAATCAAAAAAATATTTTTCTATTTAGATTACGGTTCAAGCAATGTTGTAAGAAATATCGTCGATAAAAAATAACAAAAGAGAACCACAAGTTTTGATATAAAAAAGTATAAAACTAAAGTGTCATCAAACACAGATGAGCCAATAGAATGCAAATATAACAAATCGTGTCTGGCAAAAGTAGGTTTCTTGGAAACTGGCGGCAGTTGCGAACATAAAAGTAATTTATTGGTGCTTAACTTTAGTTTGGACAGACGAAAGAGAGCCGAGAATAATTTTAGGAGCTTAATTTTGATGTCAACTTATAAATAAGAGTTATATAACATTGGTAATGCATTGAATAATTTTGTTCCAGCCTCGAGCGACTTTATATATATTTTAGTTGATTTCTGTTATTAATTAACTCACAAATTAATGTTTGATGAATGAAATATCTGTTTATTTATCGATGGGAATATAATTATCTTAATTTCAATAAGTACTATACCAATACGAATAATTAAGCCATATTAGCCATTACGCTAACATGGTTTGAGAGGTAATTATTCGTATTGGTTACCAATTAAACTTAATCTAGAGATATTAAGACAGATATTTCAAATACTGTCAAGTAATGTTATTGGAAATGGCACAGGTAATTATTAACGGTTAAATTGTCTGTTCGTAGTTGTTTGACAAACAGACTAGATATAAGCCCTCATATATTTGAAATTTCTGTCTTAATACCTCTTGATTAAGATTAAATTGGTATGTACAGATTTTACAAGAGTAGGTCACAGTAATTCTCTTTTTTGATTGTTTCTTTAGCATGGTTTAGTAGACCGATACAATATATTTTTAATTTTTAATATGTATTAAACTTGAACTTTGGTTCTTTAACAATCTTTAAGAACTTTGCCAAGTTAAATAATGTAAGAAATAGGTTAAATTTGTAATCTGTAGTAAGGACTGCATATTTGTAGGGAATTTTGTAATAAACAAGTTTCTTAGTAACTTTAGTAACCGTTTACTCGGTCTATAAAAGAGACAGGTATTGATAATCACATTTGTACTTAATGGATTAATGTTTTAGGTGACCGTATCAACAGTGAACATGCTCACTACAGTGCTCAATGACAGTCCTATTTTTCCTGAAAATGAGGAGGAGCAAGCTGATTTAACAGCTCCATTATTGATGGATAGCCCACAGGTAAGGTTATTAACCCTAAAGAAGTATGTCTCCTTTCCTTTAATGTTTTAAAAATTATGAATGATTTTTTGAAATCTCGAGATGAATTATATTCTCTAGTATACACTTCAGTTTTTGTAATATTTTTTCTTTTGCAGTGCGTCCTTTTTGGTACATTCATGATCTGGTTCGCATCGATCACAATTAACCTAGGACCTACATTCTTATCGGGGGCTTTAGCTGCTAGTGCCGGTTCTTATTCGTCATACGGACCGTCTCCATCATGTCCTTTAGTCCGAGGGCCCTTCAGGCATTACGTGCTTAACGCCCTCTGGATAGGCGTTAACGCTGTCTGCGTTGGATTGACACTTTTTCACTTGAAAAAACTCCATCGGGACCTTACTAAGGTAAAAAAAAATAATAAAATTATAATAATAAAATTATTCACCATAAGCAATACTCCCAAAACTCTGTAACAAATGGCATGGAGAGGTTAGTTTTTACAAGAAATTAAATATTAGCTTTGTTTAGGCTGTTTGTTTCATCTCTCATTATCATAAAACCGATTTCTCCATGATCATCATTCAAATGTCCAGTAATGTATGTAACATGACATGTCACCCATAGCTTTGAAAAATATAGTCATGTATATAGTCGTTGTTTTGAATGACATGCAATAAGTTTTGTAGTGCGATGCTAAGGATCACAGTTGAGAATATTGCAAAAATAGTGTACGCTCTGTTGAAGCCCATGAGGCCATCCACAGAATTTCGAATCGCTGTATTACTTTATGTATATACACTAGTATATATTACGTTGGCCGGACTAGGAATGTTTGTTGGTATACTGCCAAAACTCCTTGCGGTACATCGCAAATAAGATTTAAATTTTTAGAATTCACCTGACTTGAAATGGCTGTTGGCATCTTCGAAAAACAAAGCTGTACTTCACTATACCTAAATAAGAAAACAACACTCAATGTTCGATGAATTTAAATCTTATCGCATGCAGGCTAACGTAGAAGCAGTCCGAGTAGCTGGTTTAGTCACCACGCTTGTCAGCATGGCAGGGGACAACAGGCGGATGGATTCACTGCCAAACAGCGTTGGACCCAGGGTAAGGATTGTGATGCATGCGTCTTGTACTCATTGTAGTCACTATAATCACACTTGGTCTTTCTGCCACAGCACTCTTGACTCTTATTCACTCTATATCTTCTCAATGTATTCTTCTTCAATATTAATATTATTAAAAACGTATCCCTGTTTCTTATTCTAATTTAATAAGCTTTTCAGTTACTGATATCTATTGCCTTCGTTTCTTATTTACAAAAAACTTCAAAGTGATACTCCTCGTCTAGTATAATACATTTTAAATTACCTAATAGTATGGTGACGTTATTGGGTGCTTCTGAAATTTGTCTTACAATCTATTTCTTCTTAATATCTTTAATCATGTAGCACTTTTAAAACAATATAATTTCTTTCAGACTGTCGATGGAACTCTGTCAGATGGCCGCCCATCGTGTAGTGCTAACTTGCCACTAGGAGGGGGCCGTCGTCTACGAGGTTATTTAGCTCGAGTCGAAAGGGAAGGTGTACGACGAGTTCGCATGTTTGTGGTCATTACCGCGGCCTATATACTATTTTGGGGCCCCCTGTTCATAATCACGTTACTTCACCACCCGGCTCTTACGTCACATATTGCTTATGAAGTAAGTGTTTAATATTGCATTGCATGTAAAATGCATGTAAATTTATTGTGCTAGACACTTTAGCTTCATATTTGTATAATTATTTCTCGAATCATTTTTCCTTTATTGTGATATACCTATAACGTGTTCCATTCGATAAAGGCCTGACGTTGGTATTGCCAAAGTTAATAAATAAACAGCAATGAGCAGAAAATAATGAATTGCCTGAACTGAAGTAAATGAAATTCATTATTTTCTATCTATCTATTTTGATAACTTTAAGGTTTTTTTCTGACAAAAAGGTGATATTTGATTTAGAGAAATAATTCTAACTATTCCATAGGTGGTTACTTTTCCATAAGTATTCCATTCGTAGGATCTCGTACAGGAATATAATTTACACGAGAAAAATTATTCTCTGTCTAGATGTACTTCCAAATCACTCTACATATCTCATACGTGCATGCGGCAGTAAATCCACTGCTGTTTATGGCTTTGCACCGAGCATTGCGTCGAGCGGCGTTACAGTTGTGCTGCGGCTGTTGTGTGCACTGGAGTCAATTCGTGCTAGCATTGACTGCGGCTGGTGAGTATCAGAAGATGAACCAATAATAAACGAGGGGGTATCATCTTTCTTAGGATGTCTATATTTGCTTAATTATACTTTCACTCTTATATCTGTGATTACGGGAGGTGAAGTGCAGAGAGCCAACGCGAGAGAAACTACAATTGTAGTTTTGAACCTATAAGCCTTGGCAGGATATTTTCAGAATTATATGAATGTTATTTTTGATGTAAAAAAACTTTATATGATTACTATATCATTTTACCTTAAATTAATAATTGCAATAATTTATTAATTGTGTCACTTACTGATATGTGATTAACCCTACGGTAACAACAGATCTATTGAATTTTCAATTGAAAACGTAATATCGATAGTTATGACGGAAGCAATTTCTAACTAGTTACAATTTTTCATAGCGCAATCGCCACTAGCGCCATCGTCCTTTTCACCAGCAGCGGTGTCTCCTGAGCCACCGCCTGCTCCACCACCTCCGATGGCTCCTCCCACCCTTGCGCCACCCGGCCCTCCTGCGCCACACACGATGATGGTAATTACTTCTTATATGTAAGTGTTGACACCGTAATACGTGATTTAATCACTCGCACAGTCCCGCACGAGTACTCCTTAGACCCTCGCGAATCGTAGACTAAGATTGCCTGTGAGCTGATGCATGACGAGGATGAGACTGGAACTTTCTGTCGTTAATTTCCTCTTCCGTGGTAGTGGCGTTCTAGAGCTATCCTAGCTGCCCTACTTATAGTAAACGATATCAAACTCTCGATCTCAGAGTTGGGAAGTTGAGGAGTGTGATGCTGAGAGTATGTCGAGTGCGCGTGTGCAGGGAGACGAGGATATGATGGGGGAGGCGTGGAGCGGCAGCGTGCGGCGGGTGCCGCGCTCGCCGAGCCCGCTGCTGCCCGCGATATGAGCGCTCCTGTCCTCCGCGCATGCTTCACGTCGAGCGTCCCTCGCGTCATGCCTCGGCGCCCTTGACTACGAGCGCCCGCGCCACGCACATCTTGCCCGACATATCTCACATATGGCCGCTGTTGTCGTCTGTTACAAGATTACTTTGTAAATTTTCATAACTTCATCAAGATTACACATTTGTATATATTATCCTTCAGATTTATCTATCTCAGTAGTTGTGATCTTCTAAAATATAACATAAACGAACTTAAAGGGTACTTACTAATACATGAAAAAGATAAAGTAATTTTTAAAATATATTGTAGATTGTGAAGAACAACTCTTACTGTAAAGTAAACTGTTTTAAAGTAATTTATTGTGTAATTTGATTATTTTCTCACTTGTAAGTCAATATAGAAAGCTCAATTCTAAATAATCGAGATTTTAGATGTGCGAGTAACACAAAGCACTTTCAACTCTCGTATTCTGTAGCGGTTGTACCACAACTTGCAGATAGGAAAAAGTAAAATATATTTTTATGGGAATAATAATACAAAGATAAATAAAATGCCTGTTAAAGAAAACACCAAGTAGGTAGGTACAAATATGAAAAAAAAAACATTGTAGTCTGATAAGAAAATTAATTAAAGCTCCTTTATAGATCACTTTTTTATAATAATTCATGTAGTCGCAGTAAATATCTCGAAATAGATATTATTATATTAAACATTATTTATGAAGACTGAATTTACTTATTTTAATTGTTTTACATTATTTCCATTATGATTTAATATACACTATAACAGAAATGTATGCACAAACCGTGGTGCTGGGTCAAATATCAAGATCTTATCAGTAAATAAAACTAAAAATAACAATATCTAAGCTTATATTGCCATAATAAGTGGTGGCAATACATTGAAACTTATCAAAAAAAGTCTTACAGTATCTCAAATATAATAAAACATTTTGTAGAAAATACCGATACTACAAGTTTTAAGAATGAATTCTTTTCAAATACTATTCTCAGATTGAGTAAAAACCCCCACCTACGTTCATACCTTTCTGTTACACTTTTCATTTTGTACGGCTTTATCGTTAGTATACCATAAACCAGAAAACACATTATACTAATAAAGAAGTAAAATACATAAATATTAATAATAAGGTTTATTATATTTTGTCCCTGTTGGTTGCAATTATTCTTCACAATGATTTGAATTAACTGCACATACTTACCATGAGGGCTATGCTTATACTGATTGTAGCCCTCATAGAAATCATAGAAAAATTCGTCGTGAGGACAGAGAAATTAGGTAGGGGAACTAATGTTACACATATTCCCCAATGTGTTAAAGTGATAGTGGGTAGGGACAGAATATGCATAATTCTAATAGAGACCACAAAATATAAAGGGAAATGTAGTAGATTCATTAACAATAGAGATGGGAGATATTCTACAGTCACAGGTCGTTTTCCAACTAGTCGCATTTGAAGTCATTAAGGGAAACTCAATGCTTAGCCTACTGCTAAGCATATCCTATGGCTGAAATGGTGATGATAACGATCAAACATTATTACTCTTTGCAAGTTGACACATTCAGAGATCACAATCGTCTAGGAATGACAAGTAAGCTACCATCAAACATAATATGTTAATTTATGGATTCTCGTTAACACATGTTTAGTATGCTATATTACCTATATTATTACTTTGGTATAGTTATTTTGAGTTTATAGACTAAAAGTGATACACAATATTACAGAACATCAAAATGATTTTGATTGTATATTGTATTTTATTAAATAATTACGATACAATATAGTAGAGTTTTTGATGGTGTTACAATCGAAAACATGATGCTTTAAACATATTTTTTTCAATTTTCAATATTAATTAGTAAATATTTTTAATTCAGAAAATATTTAATAAAAAAATCTAGGTAATTAAAATTCAGTAAAACAATGTTGTTGTTAAAAAAAAACATCACATCATTGCGATTTAAATTTTCTGCACATATTTATAATTACTATGTGTGTATATAATGCCAAAGACTTTCATTTTGTAATCAGCAGAAGTGCCAAAGCAATTTTGTATTAAATCGTTAAGCACGACTTTAATTTTAATAGACTTTGCACGACTTTTGTAGTAGAGTAGATAAAGACAGATGAAAAATATATGTTGTAGTAAATTTCCTGTATAAATATAGTCTAAATTAAATGTTTCCCTAGCGTAGTTGTAATTGTCTTTGTTAATTACATTATTTTTGGATCTATCTCAAATGTGGTAGAAATCAAATATTAATATTTTGTGTCCATTAAAAGTGAATGCTAAATAAACAATGTCTATTTTACGCGCCCCTTTTCCCGCGCAATTTGAATGGTATTCTACAGCACTAAGAGTTTTCAAAAAACGAAGATCGTTAATTAAAATAAAAAATATTATATTTTCAAACATTCAGGTGGGAAACTCTGTGTGTAAAAAAGGGTTATTGTAAGTGAAAAGAAACTCTTAAAAACGTAAATAAAATCGTCCCGTTTACAATTTCTAAATAATATACAATTTTAATGTTTAAGTAGGTTATACTTGATGTAAATTGGTGTATTAATATAAATGACTGTAATAAGTACCAATTATATAAAAAGATGAAATAACTGAAAATCATAAAACAGTGTTCTTCAAATTATGATAAAAGGGAGAAAATAAATTTAACAAATAAATTGATTTATTAAATGTTTAATATTTTTTTTGTACTCATTTATTCGTTAGGAAATTTTTGACCCTTGTCGTATATTTATCACTCGTATACCTTCTCATCCATATCCTCCCTTTATGTTAAAGGTATACAACAACAACGTATCTCAACAACTCTCCCGAAGATTTGAATGTCTGTCATCCGAACATAGCTTAATTGCTCAAAAATGATGTTACAACAGCCAACGAGAAATTGCTTATGTAGGCTTTGGTTAAATTCGACTAGTTATTGTCCTTTTATTAAGGTCAAAGTTTTGTTCGTCGGATTCATAGATAAATTGAAACTCTACAAATCATTAATTTCACAATCATCAAAAATAACTTTCCATAAAACAAAATTGAGACAGTCAAGGAAGGCTTTTACATCTTGAAAAAAAAATCTGACATCGATAAAGATGAAAAAAAAAACGTTAATATAAAACAAACGAAATTTGTTTCCTAGTAGTTTATTGCTTCCCTAAGTAGACTTGAAAAATGCAATATCACTCGATCATAGTTTAGAAGCAACCTGTTTTAAATTACAGAAAAAGAGTACATATAATAACAATGCAGACACTGTTTAGGTTCAGGGAGGTCAGTATTTTATACCTGTACTGTAAGTATGCGTATGAAGAAACTCCCTATATGAGTTCCATCTATATTGTACTTTTATTTAATGTACTTTATGAAGTTATGATTTATGTTTCATAATCAGGGTTTTTTTTCTCATCTTAATTCTATTCTATCACTGTATCATCACAGCCCACAAAGCCATGTCCGCCATTCTGTATGATTTGATACTGTAGCTGGCGATATCACTAGAGACGTTAAAATATTGAAAAAATCCTTTAATTAATTGTGTTTTATGCTTAGACATTTTTTAGACAAGTACCTAATAATGTCTGGAACATATTACAGAAGTAAACATGAACAAACGCAAGCTCAAATTGAAGAGTAAGTACTTTTTCATTTCTTTTTCAACAGATGTTGTTTGTTTTCTTACTTCACACGGTGATGTTAAAAAAATAATCCTAGACGATTTTTCAAAATTATTCACAAAATTATAGTCTCTGCCATGATGTCGTCTGCAAATCGCAAGTGCCATGATGTCGTCTGCAAATCGCAAGTGAGAGATGTATTCGCCATTGATATTGATGCCACGCCCTTTCCAGTGCAGGGTCTTGAACATGTCCTCCATTGCATTTGTGAACAATTTCTGGGAGATAACGTCCCCTTGTCTCACTTCTCGATGCAATGGTACGGGCCTTGTTTGCTGATTCTGTACTTGGACGGACATGGTGGCAGTTTCATAGAGACATCTCATCACTTGGATGTATCGCCAATCTACTTGGCCACGCTGCAGGGGCTCCAGAACAGACCAGATCGCGATCGAGTCAAAGGCTTTCTCATAGTCCACGAATGCTAGACACAGGGGCTGATTGTATTCTTCGGTCTTCTGTATAATCTGCCGCACTGTGCCGCACGGCTTACTTCAAGTTACAGCTATAACAGGGCACCTAATACTTTGGATAAAAGCTATATGTCTAGTTTAAATTTTGACTTGTCATGTGGGAAGTGAATACGATGATAGATCAGCTCATACTAAAATTTTATGAAAAATAATAATAATTTTTATTTGAACAATATAAATATTACAGTGTAGGACATTTCAGTTTAACATAGATCTTAGACAATAATTAGACTAAATTACACTAGCGTAAATTTATAATAGTGTTATTTTATTCTTATGACTGTGTAGTATGATTCAAATTGTATCATTTTCTACAGATAAAGATATTAAGATTTTGTTAAAAACTTTAGTCGCTGCCTGCCTGAACTAGGGTAAACCTGTGTTTCAGGCGATCGCTTGACATGGAATTTTTAAGGTGGAAATGTAAGATAAACATAACACATCACTAGAAAATATAAAAAATACTACAAAGTGTATACGTACGAAAGCAAATAATAGAAAATAATATTATACAAAAACTATTTAAGACTCATTTAACAATTGCCAATACATTTTCTGTGTCTGCATAGTTAAATTTACCTAAATATTCTGATAACATGATCATACATTTTTTATTATTGAGGCTGTATATATGAATGGATTTATGTCAGAAATTAATGAATTATTTTAGGACATTTACCACTTTTTGTTTTACTCCATATTCCATAACTTATTATGCCTACCTCATTTTGATATATGTATATCATTTACTCATTTATTGATGTTGATACATTGGTGTTCAGGTTATTACCGAGTCGGTTTATTGCACGTAGCTTATAGATCTACGACGTCGTAGCACTTAACTCTACGAGCTATATTTCTTACTTGTAGGCCGAGCGACGACTCGACTAGGCAATGAGGATTTTATTAAATAAAATAAAATTTAACGTACGCTTAAGAAGCAAATCCATCTACAGAGCTTTATTGCTAGTAATAAAATGTTGTGTGTAAAATGTGATTTGGATGTTACCAATCTCAGCAATGACGTGATGTATCTACGTTTGTGATAGAGCATTTGAACAACTTTGTTGTTATGTGTTTTGTTTTAAGTTTTTCTTATTTCAAGTAAGGCGAAATCTGAATACACTTGGTAAAAAGGTTAAGTTTTTTGAAGGAAGCTGCTGACATTATTATGATGACAATCTACCAAGGGAACTACAATTAACTTATAATTACACTTTTATTTTTATAAAGAAAGTGAGTAGACATTACCAAAATGTTTACCAGTTCTTTAATTTTTCTAGTATTACCAACCTATTCTCTACCTTTAATATTTCATTAAAGATTTTTTTTAAATAGCGATGCACATTAAGCTTCACGCCTAAGAAGAACTTTTATAATATCTAAGCAATTGTCTAAGCAGTAAGCAGTGTCTTTTATAATATCTAAGGTCTAAGCAATGGTTTCGCACATGATGTGCTGTACTGCTCTCCAACATCGGAGCGTTCATCTACATACCTTGAAACCTTAGTACTTGCTGTGAATTTCCCAAGGAACCTTACTATTGGGATCTTCAAGAAATGTGTGGTATTTCTTTTTTGAATAGCAAGCGTTCATAGCTTTTTGAACGTGTGCTAACATCGTCGGGCTTTGTCCAATTTTCTCTAAACAAACAGCCTCTAATCTTCAAGTCTGTTCTTATGACTTCCTAATTCCTGGTAATAAGCAGTGTAATTGGTATTTTATTGGAAACCAAAACCAAACACTGTAAAATGTAGGTACATGTATGTATGTATCACTGTGTGTGTGTAATGTTGAAATCAAAACTATGGTATTGATACTCACCATTCAATGAATTTTTCATTTTGATATTAAAATAATATCTATCTGCTCCTTG